AAGGAGAGGGTGGACGGGCACTCGGGGAGGGATGATCTGGGCACAACGATGCCTGTGCTCTGCTGTGGGGGTGTCCCAGGCTTCGGGGCTCTGCTGGTTGCCTCTTCCTGCTCCACATGTCGGGGTTTTTAAGGCACTGCGTGTTGGCTGCAGCCGGGGCTGGGGCTGGGGCTGGGCTGTGCCAATGCTGCTGCTGGCGCCGACCCTGCAGGGTCCCGGCTGGACGGTCTTGCCCCCGTGCTCAGGCTCAGCCTGACGTTGCACTGGGGCAGGGAGGGATTTCTGTCCCCCCTCCCCCCATTCAGACTGGTCTGGACTGGGGGCGTTTGCCTTCCTCTGCAGCGGGGGCACAGCCTTGGCTTGGGCTCTCTGCAGCGTCCATGACCACCCCCGGTCCTTCTCTGGCAGCAGCAGGACGTTGGCATCTGCAGCCCCCTGCTTTCCCAGGGGTGGGGGCAACACCTGGGGCTGTGTCGTGTTGGACACAGGGTTTGTCTGGCCTGGTTTGCACACGGCTGATCCTGGTTCAGCCGGACTGGGACTGGATGCGACCGTGCTGGTCCCTGCCAGCCCCGCCTCTTAAGGATCCCAAGTGGGGCTGGGGTCCCGTTGCCCTGCAGAGACCCTGTCCCACACGGGCAGATGAATTCCTGCTTCACCCATGTGTTGCACCACCCAGCCCAGCAGTGCCCTGCCTAGAGGCTGCTCCATCGCCTCCCTCTTGCCCCGTTGCAGGGCCCTGAAGACGCGCGGGAACACCCCCAAGTACGGGCTCATCTTCCACTCCACCTTCATTGGCCGCGCCGCTGCCCGCAACAAGGGGCGCATTTCCCGCTACCTGGCCAACAAATGCACCATTGCCTCCCGCATCGACTGCTTCTCCGGTACGGGGCGGGGGCTCTGGGGGGCTGGCGCTGGCCCCAGCGGCTCTGCTGTGATGGGAACATTTTTCGTCAACAGCATTTCACGCAGTGAATGGTGACACGTGACTTCTGAGCAGAGCCGGCTGGGGCAGGGTGGGGACAAGGGATGGCTCTGGGCGGGGGCCTGGCCACGTGCTCACACCCCCTCTCTGCAGAGGTGCCCACCAGCGTCTTCGGTGACAAGCTGCGGGAGCAGGTGGAGGAGCGCCTGGACTTCTACGAGAGGGGCGAGCCGCCGCGCAAGAACCTGGAGGTCATGAAGGAGGCGGTGGCGGAGGTGAGCGGGGTGGGGGGGGCCTGACCTGCTGGTGGAGGCCAAGACTGATTTAATGAGGCTGATCCGACCCTGGGGCAAGAGGCAGGGGAGCCGGGTGCTTGCTGGCTGCGGGGTAGGAGCTGACAGCACGCGTTGCTCTCCCCTCAGGCCACGGAGGTGGTGGCTGAGCTGAAGAAGCGGCAGGAGAAGGAAAAGAAGAAGGCGAAGAAGAGGAAGCAGCGGGAGAAGAGGCAGCTGGAGGCGCTGGCAGCTGCCGCGGCCGAGGAGGAGGAGAACTCGCTGCTGGATACGACAACAGAAACCGAGGTGAGGGGCTGGGGCCGTCGCTTCCGTGGGGTGCACGGTCCTGCTCATCCTGGGGCTGTCGGCTCCGTCCCTCCCCGTGGAGCTGATCCCCGCCTTGCTCTGGGGCAGCGGTTCCCAAACTCAGAGAGTGCGCACCACCAATTTAAAACGATACAACCTTAAGTGCCACCAGCAGATTTTTGTCGTAATTACAATAAATCTGTTGACGCACGGTACTGGCTGTGTGTGTACCACCGGTCGTACCTCTACCACAGAGCAGGAAGACCCTAGTGCGGCAATTCCCAGGGGCGCGGGCTCTGGCTTCCAGGGGCAGCACCGGCCCAGGCCTGGCTGGGTCCCTGGCACAGCCCTGGCAGCACAGGGAGGGACAGTGCCCTCCCTGTGGGCACTGCCGGCGCCAGCAGCCCTAGGGCCTGGGCCATGTGGGTGTGCTCGGCCCATCCCATGTCGCCCCTGGCTGGGATCTCAGCTCCTGCTTCATCCTTGGTGGATTCCTTCTCCTACCCCCGAGCTGGCTTTCTCAGCTAGGTGCAGGCTTCACCCAGCCTGTCCCTGGCTGCTGTAGACCCCAAGCTACTGCCCCCTGCTCTCCCATCCCCCTGACCCCCATGCTTCCCCCTCAGGAGCTGAAGACGGAGCTCAAGAAGAAGAAGAGAAAGAGGGAGGCGACGCCAGAGCTTGAGGAGAACGGGCTGGAGGCCGAGGCCTTGCCCCGCAAGAAGCACAAGGCGGCCATAGGTGAGCCTGTTGCCTCGGACAAGAAGAAAAAGAAGAAGGCAGCGGCGGCTCAGGATGAAGACGAGGACTGAGGGAGGGGGCTGGGAGGGGGCCCAGGAGGCCTGAGGGTCCTGGCTGCTGCGGTGTCTGTCCCGCGTTTTTAGGCAGCCGCCTGCCTGTGAATGTAGCCCGGCCCGGGCAGCCTGCATGGAGGCGTGCTCGGCCCTGGCGGCTCAGGTGAGTTGGTGCCGAGGGCGTCTCCTGCAGAGACGGTCACAGAGTCTGGCTGGGCCCAGCAGGGCCACAGCTCGTGCCACGTGCCACTCAAAGGTGCCGCTGGGGTCTTGGACTGGGCTGTCCTGGGGCTTCACCTGCTCCCGATACTGCTGCAGTTGGCACAGCTGCTGCCCACTCGCCCGTCCTGCTCTGGGGCTGCGGCTCGGCTGCATAGCCGCCTGCCTCACGTGAGACACGTGTCCTCAATAAAGGTTGATGCTGTTTCCAGCCTGCACTGTCCAAGTTTTGCTGCTGCCTGGAGCCTCTGCCCAGCAGCTCTGTGGAGCTGGGCAGTTCCCAGAGTCCAGGGCTGGTGCAGCTGAGCAGGGTCAGGCCCCTTGGCCACAGGCTTTATTGTGTAGTTTATGCGTGTTGGAGACGCATCATTGCCTGGGTGCTGGGGAGTAGGGACAGTTCAGCCCCTGCCCCAGTCGCCCACCTGGAATGGAGTCTGCCAGAGAAGGAACTGGTGCTGGGCTGGGGCAAAGGGGGTGAAACCCCTGGGGAGGGCAGCATCTCCTAGAGCTTGGGGTGCACCTCCTTCTCATGCTCTGTTACATGGGGTCCGCACTTCAAAGCCTCCCAGCCCTTTTCCCATCAGCTCTCTAGCCCCAAAAATGGGCTGGCAGCCAAGGGAGGTGCCCACCAGGGGCTGGTCAGCTGCTTTATTGTGGGCTGCAGGGAAGGGCCCAGGCTGGAGCCCCTTGGGGCTGGGGGGCCAGCGAGCAGGGTAGCGAAGCAGTGTAGGGGCGCTGGGCGCAGGTGGCTACTCCTCTAGGGCTGCGATGACGGCACGTGTGAATTCCAGGGACGTGGCGTAGCCGCCCATGTCTGCCGTGCGCACCTGTGGAGAGAGGGCAGCAGTGTTAATGGGCCCAGGGCGGTGGCTGGGGCTCAGCCTGGGCAGGGCCTCTGCTGGCTCGGCTCCCTGTGCTCTGCAGCTGTCTGCTGGGTACCGCGCTCCTGGTGGTGCAGGGAGCTGTCCTCGGGCAAGGGTGGATGTGATTGATGGAGGCCAGGCCAGGCTGGGGGGGGGCCCAGGTCTGTGACTCAGAGTTCAAGGGCTCTGAAGGTGCCTAGTGAGCTGAGCCACGGGGTGCTGCTGGCACTGGGCCCTGCCTGCTGCCACAGTCCCTCTCTAACCTACCACCCCACTGCACATCTGCCCCATCCCCGATGACTGACAGTGGCATCTGTCTCCAGCCAGGACCCACGGAGCTGCTGGGACAGAGCCCGGCTCTGCCGCCTGGGACACATTTTCCAGCGCTGCACTGTGCAGGCGCTAGGCTCACAGGGCCCTGGGTGGGGGTCATACAGGGATGAAGAACCAGAGCCTGGTGGCCCAGAAACAGATGAGACACCCCCCCCGGCTTCAAGGGCACTGTGCATCCGGCTCTGCGCTGTTCTTTGCTAAGTTGGATTCATTAAAAAAATAAAAGAAAACCTTGTGTGCAGCCGGGCCCAGGCAGAGGCAGGGATGGCTTTGGGGAGAGCACCCCACAGCACAAGCCTCTCACCCCATGGCTGGAGCTGGGGCTGGCCTGGGCCAAAGGATGACTGGGATGGGGCCTGGCTTCACCCACTGCGCAGGGGGCTCCCCCTGGCCCTGGATAAGAGTGCAGCCTCTTAAAGACCCCCAGGGTAGGAGTCAGCACCACTTCCCTTGGAAGTTGGTTCCAGATCCTAGCCGCCCTGACAGTGAAGTAGTGCCTCCTGCTGTCTAGTTTGAACCTACTCTCTAAGAATCTGTGGCCATTATTCCTTGTTACCCTGGGGGGGCGCTTGGGGGAACAGGGTCTCTCCCTTTAGACGGCCACCAGATCCCCTCTCAGCCTTCTCTTGTGGAGGCTGAACAGGTTCAGGGCCCGTCGCCTCTCCTCGGGCCTGCCCTGCTGCCCCCTGACCTTGTGATTGTCCTTCTCTGGACCCTCTCCATGCTGTCCACATCCCTCCTGAAGTGGGGTGCCCAGAACTGGACGCAGTACTCCAGCTGCGGCCTGACCAGTGCCGCGTAGAGGGGGAGGATCACCTCCTTGGCCCTGCTCGAGATGCACCTGTGGATTCACAACAAGGTGCCGCTGGCCTTCCTGACCACGACCTCGCATTGTCGGCCCATGTTCATCTTGGAGTCAATAACAACTCCAAGATCTCTTTCTGCCTCTGTGCTTTCGAGACAGGAGCTTCCCAGCTTTTAAGCGTGCTGCTGGTTCCTACTGCCCAAGTGCAGCACCTTGCACTTGTCAGTATCGAAACGCATCATATTTTCATTAGCCCACCCCTGTAACCTGTCCAGGTCCTGCTGTAATCTGTCCTTCCCCACTAGAGTGCCCACCTCACCCCAAATCTCGGTATCACCAGCAAATTTAAACAGGTTGCTTTTTACCCCGTCCTCCAACAGTGGAGGCCCAAGGAGCAAGCCCTGGGGGACTCCACTGCCCACTTCCCTCCAGGTCAAAAATGACCCGTCCACCACCACCCTCTGAGTACGACCCTTCAGCCAATTTGCAATCCATCTTACTGTGTAGGCATCTTTATTCATGATCACGGTACAAAGCACTCTCATAAATAGGGGACAGACCTGCCTGCTACCGGTCCCTGGGAAGGAGTATAGTGAGCCTGGGCCCCTTGCCCAGCCCAGGTGCAGAGCAGGGCTCCAGCGGGGGCCCGAACTGGCTCCTGCCCATACCTAGCAGCCTGGCCCTTTTACACAGGCCCAGCAGCACAGGACCTGTCCCTGCCACAGCTTTGGTGCAGGGACACACACCTCGTGGCCCAGGGCCTTGAGGAGTAAGGGGGGCTTGGCTGTGCTGTCACAAGTGCCTAGTCCCCAGGGCCAGGTAACAGGGGCCACCGGCGCGGGGAATGAAGGCCAGACCCAGCTCTGGAGAGACCAGTCACAGCCCTACTGCTGCTCCATGCTGTTCTGCAGGGGGGGGTGCAGGCTGGATAGAGAGCCCTGTCCCTGCTGTGCTGAGGCTGGAGCGTGGCTGTTTTGGGGTTACTAGGACCTGTGGAAGCTATAGCCTCCCCAAGCTGGGACTCTGGCAGCCTGCCCCCACCACCCCCTGGAACGTCTCACTTGCTTTTTGGACCCTACTTAAGCCCCAATCACAGCCTGGGCCCCGCAGAGGAGGGGGAGTGCTCTGCTATCAGCAGTCCAGCCCAGAGCGGTGCAGGGGCTCCACACCCTGCAGCCAGGTGAGGCCACAGCCCCCTGGCCTGGGCTCAGCAGGCCTCAGGGTTTTGGAACAGGCACCAGCTGGATGCCAAGGAGGTGGAAGTCGTGGGGCACTGGTGGGGATAAGCCCCTCCACCCAGGGGACTGCTGTGGAGAACAGGTTGGCCCTGGCAGCCACAGAGCAGGTGACAAACATCAGGGCACCAGGGCAGGGGCCAGGGTGAGAGGTCCACTGGGTCTGGAAGCTAGAGGTGCTGGTGCACACACGCAGTCCCGGGGCTGGGCGCGGCCAGGGGGCCTAGAGCCCGTAGTGGGGGTGCAGGTTGTCAATCACAGACTTGATGAAGTCCGAGGTGGTGGAGTAACCGCCCATGTCCCGGGTCCGGACCTGGAAGGGGAGGGGCAGAGAGGAGAAAATGGGGGCGTGAGTGGGGGCGCCGAGGCCAGTGGGCGAGGACAGGACAGCAGAGGAGAGCACAGGACTGGCAGCAAAGCAGATCCCTGGTGCACTGCCCTGCCAGGAGAGGAGAGGCTGGAGTTGTGGAGCAGACATGAGGCAAAGCCGGGCTGAGGGAACCAGGCGTTCACACAGGCATGGGGATGGGAGCGGTGCCCCTCCAATTTCCCTGCGGCCGGCTGGAACAGGAGCCACCCCAGACGGGCACAACTCTGGCTCTGCGCAGCCAGGCCAAGCATCCCACTAAAGCAGAGCCTGGTCCAGGGTCCAGCCAGGCAGGCGGACCCTGGCCCGGACACAGCTGCCATGACTGTGGCCCTGAGCAGACCGTGCCAGCTGCACCCCGAGGGGACCCAGAAAGTCTCCGAGCACCAGGCGAGGGTGGCAGCAGAGAAGCAGGAAGGGGCCATGGCAGCCTGGCACTCACCTTGCCGACCTTGATCACTTTCTTCACAGCATCCGAGATGATGTTAGCGTGAAACTCCAGGCTGGTGGGGAGGAAACCAGATGCGCTCAGGCTCCCCCACACGGCTGTGCCCCAGCACTGCCCCCCCCTCCCAGTACCCATCCGAACAGGCCCGACACCCCCAGGTTGCCCCCTGCCCCCCAATGCAGCCCTTACTTCAGATGGCGCAGCATGTTGGCAGCAGAGAGCAGCATGGCAGTGGGGTTGGCGATGTTCCTGCCCACTGCCTGTGCGAAGGGGTGGCGGGCGCCCTGCAGAGACAGCCAGCATTAGGTGCTGTGCCCAGGCCAGGGGCCACAGCTGCACTAAGCACGAGAGGGGGTCCAGCCCACGTGGATGCAGGATGCGACTCCTATGCCCTCTCAACCCAGGGCAGACCCAGCTCTGCTTGGAAATCTCTAGGGAAA